GACACTTTGAAAGTTAAGGTGTCTTTATGAAAATACGGGACAACTTTAATTGTGTCTTTATGTCTTCACTCTATTTGTGTCTCTTTACTCTCATCAATTGTGGATGAAAGTGGTCATTAGTTTTTAGTAATTTATGTAACCACCAACTATTCATTTCACTCATTATTCTATCTCTATGTCCTGTAACTTATTTAACATTTGAGCCATTAATTTGGCAAATTTACTACCCACTATCTTCATATTCATTGCAAGGAATAATTCATCACCTATAAATAGTGTGGTCTTCCTATGTTATGAATAAGAAGGAAGAGATGTACAAGAAAATATAGAGTGAAAAAGAGAGTAGTATTATATCGTGTATATTGAGTTAGTGTAGTAAAAGAGAAAATTGAGACAAATAAAATATTTCAAGTCTTCAACTATATTCATTATATAAAAGAAAGTATTTATATGTTGAAGAAAGATTGTGGAGCTTTGGACTCTTCTATTAATTCAGAGTTGTTGAGTTATACGATGTTGTTGGGCTGTTGTATCCTCGAGTGGACAAGCCAAGAGTGATATTGTTAGATCGGTATAGATTATGCCGCAGTGGGCTTGAATCTCCTTAAAGAAAGCGAGATATATGCGCCTCAGTCTAAGAATTTGTTTATTCATTTTTATCATTTTATTTTCAACTATAATATTTTACATTTATGATATATTACACCATTTAATTTAGTACGTACCTCTAATAGACTTGAAGCTTCAATTATCACTTAAAAAGAACATTAATTTATTAGAGTAGTAAATAATCGATAACTCTTATTAATGAGATTTTGAGAAAAGGAAGAAATGCAAAGAGAAAATTTGGGAAACAAAAGGTTGCAATAAGACAAAATAATAGAAATAAATAAAATCGAATAATCTATATATATATAATAGGAGAGGTGATAGCGCCTACGTGTCAGCACCACAAAAAAACATATTTTTATATGAATTAAAAATTATTATTAATTACATAATAATATATTACTATTTTATTTTTAAATGATTTTTAAATTAACTTTTAATTTCAAACGTTTATGGTTCCTTTTTTTGTTGAAAAATATTTTTAACTATCTTTCCACAACCTCCTTATTTATAGCAAAATAAATGCATATAACAATAATAATAATAATAATAATCTATATATATATAATAGGAGAGGTGATAGCGCCTACGTGTCAGCACCACAAAAAAACAGATTTTTATATTAATTAAAAATTATTATTAATTACATAATAATATATTACTATTTTATTTTACTAAATTTTAGGAAAATAAAACTTTTAACTTTTATCCCAAGTTTTTCTAAAAATAAAAATAAAAAATATACATAAGCACACTTGAAGCGGTTTTATCTCTTTAAGTATAAGTAATAGCCTTCTGTACTCCTTTTGTTTCTTGAAATCAAAATCAGTTTCCATGACATAAAATTTTGGAAATTGTGAGTCCTTCTGTAATCGTTATGCCGCGAGCCCGCAACAATAGGCTATCATTAGAAACACTAGCCATGTAAGTTTAATTATTTATTTGTTTATTTATATTTATTTGATTTTAGTGATAAATTCTCACATAAATTTTAGTGATAGATTCATATTTTTCTTATTTAAGATTTCTCATTCTACTAACTTTAATTGTGAATAAAATTGCATAACACTTTTAGTTTTATTTGGACTCTTTAGATGACATAGTTTTGGATTCTAAATTGAAATAATATCCACATCGTAAGTAGTAGTTTATAAGTTTTACGAGTGAGGATATTGGTTGCGAGAAGAATACAAGGCTATATGCAAATATTGAGTTATTGAAGTAACTCTAATTATATTTAAAGAGTTTTATTAGTTTAAAGGAGATGTACTTTCTTTGTTTTGTTTTTTTCGTTAACTTTTTTAAATTTGCTTATGTACATTTGGAGGTTAGATTTTTTTTTTTATTACTTTAAAGTGATGTAGTTGTTTTTAGTTTAGTTTTTTCTTATCAATGGCAGTAATGAATTTCTAAAACGGTAATGCTAAATGGTCAGAAAATTTGGGCAGAAATTAAAAAAGTCTTAATATCGTTTTTAAATAAACTGATCGTTTTTCCATTTTTTAATTAAATGGTATTAAAATTAAAAGGGTAAAAATGTTCAGAAAAATTTAAGCGAATCAGTTAAAAAATATTTGAGCCTATTGTTATTTGAAAGAGAAAAAACTGTATAATAAAAAAGGATAAGATTATTAAAAAATTTCACATAACAACGGTTATACAGTTTCCAGATTTTTCAAATTTGGATTTGAAATGGCAGTTATTTTTACATTTCAAAATTAATTCAATTTTAATATTTAAAATTAACATCTAATTCCATATCCTCAATATATAAACCCACCAATGAAAGCTTCTTTTAAAATTCATCATTTTAAATAATATTTAATATTTTGAAGTTTTTTCTCAATTTTTTTTCTTATTTGCATTTTAAAATAATTTTTTTTTTAGAAAATACAAGTTATAATCTATTTGTTCCATCTTTACTGATAAAAAAATCAAACTAATAATATTATTATTAATAATAATAATAATAAATAAATAATAATAATAATGATAATAATAATAATAATTAATAATAATGATAATTATAATAATAAAAATCTATATCTATACTAATAATAATAATAATAATAATAATAATAATATATTAAATTTTAAAAAAACATCCAACTAAATATGGTGTTTTAATCTTTATTTTTAAAAAAAGAAGTAATTATCCTACTAAATAGGGAGTTTTAAAACTTCTCATAACAATCCTACTTCTAAGCAAATTGAAAAACTTTTAAACTAAAACTATCTATTTAAAAAACCCACGTATGAATGTTTCTTTTAAAATTTAACATTTAAATATTATTTAATATATTAAGTTTATATATCAGATTTTTTTTTCTTATTTGAATTTTAAAATAAAAACTTTTAAATAAAATATAACCTATAATATATAGGTTCTATCTTTACTGATAAAAAAATCGAACTAATAATAATAATAATAATATATTAAATTTTAAGAAATTTCCAACAAAGATTAAAAAAAAAAACTGAAATATTTAAATTAAATTGTAAAATAGAAATGCTAATTTTTGTGGTTTTCAAGTTTAAAATAAAAAATATTAACTTTGAAAATATAAAAAAATAAAATAAAAATCACACGGAAGTTCAGCATCTAAAATTTAGTTTTTGAGCCTAATTTTATGGAACTATCAAGCATTATCTAATTTTTGGAACTACCAAGTATTATCCTTTGAAATATCTTAATTTAAATTATTGAAACTAATTACGTTTAAATATTACTTATTTTATCATTTCTAAATGACATCTAATTAGATATCCTCATATTATAAACCCACGTATATAAGTTTCTTTTAAAATTCATCATTTAAATAATATTTAATATTTTGAAGTTTTATATCAATTTCTTTTTTGTTATTTGTAATTAAAATAAATATTTCTAAGGAAAATACAACTTATAATCTATATGTTCTATCTTTATTGATTAAAATAATTGAACTAATAATTAATAATAATCTATAATAATAACAATAATACTAATAATAATAATAATATATTAAATTTTTAAAAAAAAATCCAACTAAATATGACATTTTAATCTTTATTTTGAAAAGAAAAGTAATTTTCAACTAAATGGGAGTTTTAACACTTCCCATTTACACTCCTACTTCTAAAATAAATATTTTTTAATAAGATATAACCTATAATCTAAAAAATATAGAACATAATTTAATGTCTTCTATGTTTATTATTATTATTATTATTATTATTTATTTATTTATTTTTATGAATTTTCAACCTTAGCACAAGATAATTGAGGAATTGTCATAGCAAAAATTATATAATGATAATCTCTATCACTGTCATAAACATAGAAGGCATTAAGTTATGTTTTCATAATATTACTTTTAAAGGACAATCAAATTTCAAAATTGGAAAATAATTTTATGAGAAATAAAATTTAAACTTTTGAATTTAAGATAGATAATATTTATCTATATCTAGCTAGCATTAAATTCTATCTTGAACAATATCACTATTATAAGTCATTTAGCAAATTTAAGACCATTCACAATATTATATAACAACATTAAATTAAGTTGAAATTGTGATTTTAAAATATACGATAAGTTTTTAATTTTCAATTTTTACCTTTTTAAAATCTAATTCATAGATAACTATAATTACACATAATATGCTTTATTGGATAAATTTCAAATAAACAGTCTCTCCCTCATAGCCATATGTTTTCTGATATAATTCAAATTAAAATTTAATATATCCTCTACATACATTGATTAAATCTAATATAGTGTTGTACTAATTAAGATTATTATATTATTACATTAATATCAATTTTCTATTATATTTTACACAAGTTAATACAATAAATAATATTTTGAATCTTTTAATTTTGAATAAAACATATATAAAATGTTTCAACATGTTATTTAGTCTTTTATGATATCAAATATTTCATATGGAAGGTTAGAAACTTAGAATTGATAAATTATTAATATTATTTTTTATTCAAACGACATAAAAAGAATATATATATATATATTATTTTAATACAATAAATTAAATTGTGTATTAATAATATTAATTTAATATTGCTCAAATACACAAGTTATTATTATTATTATTATTATTATTATTATTATTATTATTATTATTATTATAATAATTTAAATATATTATTAAGTGCATTATACATTTTATTAATTATTTTTAATTATAAAATTACTACATTTTAAATCACCCGCGCAACGCGCGGGCATATATACTAGTAATAAATAATAGTACCAACTGTTACAATATCAGTTTTTTCTTCTAAGTATTATATTTTGTAATTCCAAAAACAGCCTTCAAACAAAAGCCCTAATTTATATTCGTCTCTTTGTTTCTCTTTCTTCTTCTTCCATCTCTGCCATTGCTGAAGGTTTAGGTTTTCTTTCTCTTTGTTTCTGTTCATCTTTTCTTGTTTGTTTTACTTTTGTTTTGAATCTTTAGATTTAATTTTGTATTTGAATTTAATTTAAATTGTGTTGACCCGTATTCTTTGCTGCGCATGCACGTGTCAAAATGCTATCTGTTGTATATTTTAAGAATGACACCATCATCTTCTCCAACCACTCCTAAACCCTAATTCTTGTTCTCCGCAGAAAAATCAAAAACAGCTTTGAAAGATAGATGGATAACAAAGAGGCTTCAGAAAAATCATCTTCCCAGTAAGTCTGAGCCCAAATTAGTTTTAAAAATTACCAGAAAAATCAGTTAATACCGTAATTCTATGTGAATGCAGGAAGATGGATAACCAAGAAGCTTCAGAAGCTATTGATGCACTCTCATTGACAGCTTCCTCATCCAATCCTTCCATTTCAGCTTCACAGTAAGTCAATATGCTCTCGGGTAGTGTAATTTCGATTTGAGATACTTCTTTTTATGTTTAGTTATTGAGTATTGGAATGAAAGTGCATTGAATAGCATGAAAAAGATATAGTGGATCCAGATAGATGTTCCACTTGAATAGATGATTAGTTGTTTGATATTAGTGAAATAAGATTTTTATTTTTTGTTCGTCTATGAAAACCTTCCTTTGGTGTTTTTTAGTCTTGTTCATATGTGATATTGAATTTATCACATACTGATGTTTTAGGATGAGTTTGGAGGAAAAGTTCAAGATTGTTAGGAGTATTGGGGAGGAGTGCATACAGGAGGATGAGTTGATGAATCTTTTGGCAAAGAAGCCACAGCCCATTTGCTATGATGGTTTTGAGCCTTCTGGTCGAATGCACATTGCTCAGGTATGTGAACCTCAATTCCACCCACATTTTAACTGCAGCAATGAAGACGATACAAATTTGCCACTTGCCAAGTGTCTGGTTTGTAGAATGTGTGCGGCTTACGTTGTTTCACAATTCTACTTGAATCTGATTGTTTTCCCATTGTCTCCTGATCAGTAATCTACTTCTTTCAGATGCAGGGTTTTTTCACTTGTTAATAACATAAAATAAACGTCATAAAGAAAGAAAGAAACTCATTGGTTGACTTCAAGTGGTTTTCAGATTTGGGGATGGGAAGATTTGTCTTTGTTCTAAGGGGTGATGATTGATGAAAAAGCCTGAATTATTTCATATGAACTGTTTGTATGTCATACAATGAAATCAATCCATAATCAATTATTTAGATTGATAAGCATATACATCAGGTTAATGGAATTATTGATGTTTCACTAGAACTTACTTTTAATTTCACCTTGCAAAATAAGAGCTTAACTATCACTTGTAAATTATCCAAAAAACATGACAAGTGCAGGAACTACTAAAGGTACTAAAGAAAAAGAAGAACAACTACTATTTCATCAGATGAGATATTCCCATAAAGTTGAAAACTAAGTGATAAAGGTTTTGTGGAATCTTCTAAGATGTTAATGACAACCAACTAATTATTGGACTTTCTGAAAAGGGATGTCAAATATTCAGAACCAAATAAAAAGCACTAGGCAATTAGATCGCTGCAAGCTAAGTGATACATTGTTGAATAAATCATCAGGAAAATCTATATTTTATGCCATTCTTTCTTCCTGTTACATTTGTGCAGGTCAACAACTGAAATTAGTGGAGGGGCTCTTGTGCAGTTGTGTTCCTTTTAGCATCTCATGATTTTTTTTTCTCTTTTGCAATTTCATTGCTAAACAGGGAGTTTTGAAGGCACTAAATGTCAACAAACTGACTTCGGCTGGCTGCAAGGTGAAGATCTGGATTGCAGATTGGTTTGCCCAGCTAAATAACAAGATGGGAGGTGATTTGAAGAAAATTGAGGTTGTTGGTCAATATTTGATTGAGATATGGAAGGCTGTGGGAATGAATCTTGAAGGGGATCAAGTGGAATTTTTGTGGTCTTCAAAAGAGATTAACTCCAGAGCTCATGAGTACTGGCCTCTTGTTATGGACATAGCTCGAAAGAACAAGCTTCCAAGGATTTTAAGGTAAAGCCTAAAGCATTTGAACCTTTCTTATTTCTTCTGAAAAGGAGCAGTCAGTTATTGCTTACATGTTTTTTCTTTATTATAAGGTGCTGCCAAATTATGGGTCGGTCTGAGCAAGATGAGTTGACTGCAGCCCAGATTTTTTACCCGTGCATGCAATGTGCTGATATATTCTTCCTTAAGGTAACCTGTTTTTATGACTAACTATTTGGAAATATTTTCTTTCTTGTTCAGTTAGCTGGATAACTCAAAGGAGAATCTAAGTTGCTCAGTTAGTTGGAAGACAAATGAGGCTTGCTCGAGTGGTTGAGCACCTCCACCATCAACCGATAAGTTGAGGGTTCGATTCATGCTGGAGGATGAGTGGGAGCACTGTTGATCCTCCTGGGGTTGGGGTGGAAAAAAAAAGAGACACTTTTGGAAAAAAGGATAAGTCAAATATAAGCATCTTTTGTGAGACTTAATTAGAAAGAACCAAAGCACCTTCACTGCATTTTTTTAGGCATGCAAGCTACCCCTCTAGTATCATAATCTACTTCTTGCTTGTCTTGGTAAACCCTGCAATGCTATTATGTTGCTTGTTTGTCTAGGTTACCAATGAGTAAAATATGCATTGCCTGTTGTTCCTACTTTCTATGCATATAGCTGGCTTGCCTTGAGTTTCTAGTTTGAGTAAGCATATGCTTCTTGATATGGACAGATATGAGAGCTGCGTACTTTTTGTTCATTTGTTGCCTGTGAACAATTTGTGTTTTCTTTCAATTCTATGGTCTGTGTGACAATGGTAATTATTTGTTTAAATTATGATTGTACCAGCTAAATAAGGATATTTGTTGTTTATAGGCTGACATCTGTCAACTAGGCATGGACCAGCGAAAGGTTAATGTACTTGCAAGAGAGTACTGTGATGACATCAAGAGGAAAAACAAGCCTATCATATTGTCCCATCGTATGATAGTCTCTTTTTATTCTAGAATTCAAACTCTTTTTTTACTTGACTAACTCTTCTGATATGTTTGTTTCCTTATGATCTTGGCGCGCAGATATGCTCCCTGGTTTGCAGGAAGGTCAAGAGAAGATGTCCAAGAGTGACCCCTCTTCTTCCATTTACATGGAAGATGAAGAGGTATCTTCAGATTTTTCCTCTAGGCTTTCTAGCTATATATATTTGTCACCTGTAACACAGTGCTACAATAGTTTTTAGGTAGAGTGTCAGTGTTCGTAATAGATTTTTCTAGCTGGTGGTTTCGTTGCCTCCGAGGTCCTTGTGTACTGACTGTATTTTTTTCCCTGTGCCATGCATGAACACCTAAGGCAGAAGTAAATGTCAAGATAAAGAAGGCTTTTTGTCCACCAAAGGTTGTAGAAAAGAATCCATGTCTGGAGTACATCAAGTATATCGTCCTCCCTTGGTTTAATGAGTTCAAAATTGAGCGAAGTGCTGAGAATGGTGGTGACAGGTGTGTCACTTCCCGCATTTGCTCAAATCCATCTAGCTGATTTGCTAACTACAGTACAGTCATTTATTCAATTTGGCTCATTTTTCATATTCTTCTTTTTCCCACTCTAGGACCTACACAAATTTTGAAGAATTAGCTGCTGACTATGAAAGTGGGAGTTTGCATCCTGCAGACCTGAAACCTGCATTATCAAAAGCAGTCAATAAGATATTACAGGTTGATACATTGATACATTCTTCATCCAATCTCTTCTGTAGTCCTTGTATTAACTACAAATTGATAAATTTGCAAATTTTGCTCTGTTCGTTTTCATTGACTCTTCATTTTGATATTCTACTTTTACTTTTGCAGCACTAATGTGAAAGTGATATCTCAATTGTTGATGTTATTACCTCATAGTTCTTTGAGTTTGATATATACAATTAATATAGTCCCAACACCCTAGAATAACTCTTTGTTTGTAGCGTATCTCATTTTTACTTGCTAAAAATAAATCAGTAATCAATCATATCGGCAATTTAATATCAACTAATACTAAATTTAAGATATTGCACTCTTGATGCCTAGTTACTGTCTCTCAAGATACACCACAAATTTTATTTGTTATAGTTCAATATATTTGTAATTCTACCTTTCTTTGTGGTCCTGACCTAGTTTTCAATGTGATATGCAGCCGGTGCGTGATCATTTTAAGAATGACCAGAAAGCCAAAGACCTTATGAAAAGGGTGAAGGTATGCGTTCTTGAATTTGCCTGAATGTTCTGTGTGTTGGATAAATTGTCTCATCAGTGTTAATTAGACTTTGTCACTTGGGGGGTCAGGGTACCACTGCTTATTTTTCAAAAAAAACAATTGCGAAGGGGAATATAGTTTCTTGATTCTCTCTTGAAGAAAGTGCAACTACTGTATATTTTAAGTTGCTCTGTTTATCAAAATGAAGATTATTGAAAAAGCAAATTATGATTGAATAATAAAACAGATAATTGATGTTTTTCATGAGTTTTGAGAAAGGTAATTCTTCTTAGACCATCTTGAAGTTGTGGGTTGGGCTACAATGATCCCCTTGTATCATTCCTTCGTCACTTAAACCCACCTTAACCCGGACTAAGCCATCAATGTTTATTCTTTTTGGTGATAAAGTTGAGCCAGAGCTGAAATATGATGTTGTTTCTTATATCAAGTTTTCTGAATCCCCGTGCAAGAATCACCATCATCTCTCTTCTTTTTTTCCCCGAACCTCATGTTATTGCTTTCCTTACTAGTGAGGCTTCTTGATACAAGAAAAGAGTAATCTGAATTATGTGCTGAGTTGAGAGTCAGATTTACCCCTTTTTTGAAAGGGATGATCAAATTGATTACTTCATTGAGTACATTTCTTCTGTTGCTAAACATACAATTTTTAATGAAAAAATGACAATGACAAAGCGCACAATGTAGGTGAGAATGGCAAAAACACATTCGTACAAATCACAGAAACACTGTTTCACATAGTCAAATTCTGTAAGCAAGCTTAAAAGATAATTTGAAAATTGAACATTCAGAAACAATAGCACTATAGTATATCATTTTTGTGGCGATTGTCTTGACCGTATTAAATGGGGGGTGAGTGTTCAAAACTAGTTTCATGGCAACTTTCTGATCTCATTTTTTTCTGTGTTCTGTTGTGCAGAGCTACAAAGTAACAAGATGAGGTCTAGTTGAATGAAGTGTAAATGGATTGAGAGATGGTGATGGCTGTCTGGAAGTTCCATGCCGTTTCTCATCACTATGCTTTAGTAACTTGGTTTCACAAGAAATTTCAACACCATTTTTGATTTAGTATTTTCTTGTACTTGTGTTATTGAAATGCCCGAATCACATATTTAAATTTTGTCAACTGTAATTTCACCGAGGAAATGCCTCTGAAACATTTGTTTGCTACAACCTACACGGTGATTTCCAGATAGTATTTTTATTCAGCTTCTAAGTCTGGCATATCTCATCCATTTGATTGTACGTAATCATATACGATGATCTACTAGGTGTTTTAACTATGTATTTCTTCTTTATCGGACAAAATTTGAAGAAGAAAAAAAACGTATTGGCTAGACTTCCTCTACTTTTACAGTGTATTAGTGTAAACCTATAAATGGAATCTGAAAAAGATAATGTATAGGGAAATCTTATATCTATTGTGTGAAGGTAGAGTGAACTAAAGTTTTAGTTAAAATAAGAGACAAGTGTTAAAAATACACCTAAACTATCTTTTTTTTTTAGTTTCATACCTAAACTATCATTTATTAGTTTGAGAAACACACCTCAGTGGTTTGTATAATGCACTCTCTCTTTTTCTTGAAAAAACCTTAACACATGACGTTTCACATGGATAAAATATTTCACCTTGATAAAAATTAAATAATAAACTATTAATATTAATTAAAAATTAAATTATTACTATCCCCAAAAAGATATTTTAAAAAAAAAAAAAATTTAAATTATTTTTCTTACCCCATTCCATCACTTCCTCCTGCACCCCCTCTTCCTGTCCTTTTAAAAAAAATGATTTTATAAAATATTTTTTACTTCACCATCCCCCCCCCCCAAAAAAAAAAAACCACTCACTCATTCCCCAAAAAAAATTGATACTATTTTATCTTAAAAATAAAATTCTAAAAAAGTCTTGCGGCGGAAAGTAACAAATATCTTTGATATATATCTAACACAGAACAAGAAAAAAATTTGGAAGCGAAGGGTTATGTGGACTAGTGGATAGAATTATTTTTTTTAAAATAAAATAATATCTAAATTAGTATTTGAGAGGGGGGGAGATGAAGTAGAAAAAAATTAAATACTTTTATAAAAGAAATTTAAACAAAAAAAAAATGGGCACGGGATGGGGGGTGGGGGGAGAGGAAGTGATGGAGTGGGGTAAGAAAAATATTTTACATTTTATTTTATATAAAAATATTATTGTTTTGGGATAATAATTTTAATCTTTAATTTTAACTAATACTAATAATTAATTTAATTTTGTCAAGGTGAAATGTTTTGTTCATGTGAAATGTGATATGACAATTTTTTATAATAAAAGAGAGAGTGTATTACACACATCGTGATGAGAGTGGTATAAAAGAGACAAGTGTATTTCTCAAAATAATAAGTAATAGTTTAGGTATGAATCTCACACTCTCAATAGTTTAGGTATGAAACTAAAAAAAAATGTATAATTTAGATGTGCTTTTGACACTTATCTCTTCTTAAAATAACGAAAGTTTTACTGTGTATTTTTTATTTTCATTTTTAGATTTAATTGTTGTGTTTATTTTATATCTACTAAAATGTCATTTGGGCAAAAAAGATTCACATGTCATCATGTATAAAGAAAGTACCTAATTCAAGGATTCTTAGGTATGATGTCGTTTTATGAATATTGAATTCATTAGCATGTATCAAAAAGAAAATACAAAGTTTTTTTTTTTCAAAAATCAATCTAAACTTACATAAATTGAATTAACAAATACTTATGCGGCAAAACGTAATAAATATAAAATAAAAATATAAGAGTCACATCATGAGAATGTGGTTGAAAGGAAAACCGTAGCCATCATCGATAACCACCCAGAGGACAAAAAAAAGCAATTATTAGACCTTATATGAAAACCGGCCCACATGATCCGCCAGATACGGGCTGACCCGGACCGACCCGAAGCCCAATTTCCATATACAGTGTGCTGGCACTACTACTTTACGAAGTATCTCCGCTGAAACTGTGTACCGTTGAGAGTCGAGCCACATTGGATCCTTCAATTCAACAAAGTTTTCTGCAACTTCAGGTTTACATTTCTGACTGATATTACTGAAAAGTTTACCCTTAAGTTTAAGATTGCTGAATTGGGTGTTTTGATGAGGAATAATGCTGCTTGTTTCTGAAATTAACTTGTATGTGTTTCTTGAAAAAGCTAAAAAGCTTCAACTTTCTGTTTAAGTTGTAGTGTTTTTACATCCAAGATTTAATTTTTGATGAATTTATAACAAGTGTAGAGCTGTTCCTTTTGTTTTAGCTAACAGAATAACATTTTGTTCATGTATTACAGTGTATGGGACCATTTGTAGGGAGGTCTTTGTTTGATACATGGACCAAATCCCACTTGGATTGAGTGACATTTTGATGCCTAGTCTGGGATGAGAGGATGTTCTTATTTAAGCTCAACACGAAATACATATAATTCTGTGCGCACCCAAAGGGTAGCGGCTGTGGGTTTCCCTAGTCATCAAAAAAAAAAATACATATAAATATACTTGCTGTATTAAGCAGTGTTTTTCCATCAAAGTTTGATTTTTGATGAGTTTATACCAAGTGTAGAGCTGTTCCTTTCGGTTTAACTAACAGAATAACATTTTGTTCATGTTTTACAGGGTAGGCCGGTAGGGGACTAGGTTAGGGAGGCCTTTGTTTGACATTTTGATGCCTAATCTGTGATGGATTTATGAGATGTGAGAGAAAGTTCAGATTCAAGCTCAACAGAAAATACATAATTTTTTACTTGCCTGTATTAAGTTATTTATCTTTTTGGTACTTGTACTCTGCTTTCTGCAACTACATGAATGTTCAAATGGGTGATGATTCTGGGAAGCAACCAAGGCACCGTAATCTAACACCGCTGAGGATGATGAGGGGTATTTTCTGTCTAATTGTGTTAGTACTCTCTGCATTTATGGTGTTAGTGTATTTTGGCTTTTGGACTGCTACTGGCTTGCGAATTATCAGTGTCCATTATAGCAGAGTGGGAACATCCTTCTTTTTTGGATGTTGGTTAGCTTTGTGGCCCTTTTGGTTTGAAAAAATTAACAAAACCAAAGTGGTAATCTCTGGAGATTCTGTTCCACCTGCCAAACGAGTCTTAGTTATTGCAAACCATCGAACTGAGGTTGATTGGATGTACTTGTGGGATCTTGCTTTGCGCAAGGGATGTGTGGGTTCAATCAGGTATATACTTAAGAGCAGTTTGATGAAATTGCCTGTGTTTGGATGGGTTTTTCATATCATGGAGTTCATACCTGTTGAGAGAAGATGGGAGGCTGATGCATTGAAGCTGCGTCAGATTCTTTACACCTATAAAGATCCTGAAGATCCACTGTGGCTTGTTGTTTTTCCAGAAGGCACTGATTTCACGTATTTCCTGTTCCCTTTTAACTCTGTATTTAAAATTCTAATGTATATTTATGTTTGAGATTGTGCCCGTATGGCATGCTAAATTAGTGCATTTTCTCTCCAGTACTAGTTTAAGAACTTACTGGCTTCCTTACTTTCAAAACAGAGAACAGAAGTGCATTCGTAGTAAAAAAATATGCTTCTGAAAACGGATTGCCAATCCTGAACAATGTACTTCTTCCAAAGACAAAGGGTTTTTATGCATGTTTGGAGGAATTGAGAGGTTCCTTGGATGCAGGTAGCACTTCTTTTATCTTCTTCCTTGTGTAACTATTGGGCTGATGTTAATCATAGTTTTCCTATTTTTGACCTTCCATAAAGCAGGATTAGTATTTTCTGATGCTAAATTGAATCCAGTATCATTCCTCCATGTTCTCACCAAGATGATCCAAGTATTTGCTATTACTTCCTCATTTGTCCTGCCTAAATAATGAGGGGGCATAAGGCATTTAGTGGATTTATTTAGATGGATTCTGCTTTTGAACTAAATTTAATGGCAGTACAATAACTAATTGCCTTCAGATATGGCTGTGTTTTGTTGCATTTGGTTCAGTAGTATTGCCTTCAGATTTGGTTGTAACTTAATTGTTGCGTTTTCCTGGACATCTAATATTCTGTTTGCGAGCAACATCGCATCTTCTACTGATATTTGGTAATTATAGAGGTAGAATATAAGTCATGCTTTTCTCTGTGAAGTTATAATCTGCTCATCTTGATTAGGGATATTCTTAGACTGGTAGGTGTATTGTGGATAAGATGCAGTTGGTATATTAGAGGCTTGTCATGTTAAAGCTGACCGCGGTGGACAAGGGTGTTCGATGTCGATAGATTTAATAGCTTTGCTGTTTCTAAATCTCCTGATGTATGTGGCATTAGTACCTCACATATCAAAAATAGAAGTTCTATCTCTTCTTGATATAAATAGTTGTGGTCTGGTAGTCCACTTAAGAGAGAGCAGAGTACCGTCAAACAGATATCTGTCTTAATGTCTTTTCTAATATACCATGCTTTTTGTTGCATATGCATTAAAATCAGATAGACACAAGCCATGCTATATTCATCATTGCCATGTCCTATCGGTTTTATTATTCTCATTAAAATTCAAATGAAGCAGAATTTCTTCATGCAGTTATCTCTCAAGTATACTTTCATTTGGTTGCTAGTCCATAAATGATCATTCAATGAGACTAGCAATTACGCTTCTTTTGACTGTCCATTTCGTGCTATTTCAGTTTATGACATCACAATTGGCTACAAGCATCATTGCCCTTCTTTCTTGGACAATGCTTTTGGGGTTGATCCAGCTGAAGTTCATATGCACGTTCGCTGTATTGCTATTGTGGATATACCAGAATCTGAAAATGAGGCTGCTTCATGGTTGATGGATACATTCTGTGACAAGGATAAATTGCTGTCTGATTTTCATTCCCAAGGTCATTTCCCTCGCGAAGGAATAGAAAGTGAGCTGTCTACGGCCAAGTGTTTAGCAAACTTCATCTTTGTGCTAACATCGACTGCACTTTGTACATATCTAACACTTTTCTCATCCATTTGGTTCAAGATATATGTTTCCTCTGTATGTGCATACTTGACAACAGCCACATACTTCAACTTTCGACCTTCTCCCATTGTATCTTTATGAATGTAATTGCCTTTTATAGGGAGCCTTAATTTAGTACAACTTTCCCTGTGCTGTTGTGTTGTATTCAATTTCTGTTGTGATCCCTTGAAGTTCCTTCCTCAATCCCATAGGGATTGGGCTATATGAATCCTTACTAGTCATGTTTCTATAGTTTGTATTGTGATGTGAATACTATTACAACATAACAACATGCCCAATAATATCCCACAAGTGGCGTGTGGGCAGGTAGGAAGTACACTGACTATACTCCCACCTTTGTGGGGTAGAGATGTTGTTTCCTATAAACTCTCAACTCTATATTGTGAGGTGAATATTCATCACATATTGTGGAAATTTCTTATTTCCTTTTCTTGACTGAATCCTTGATGAAAACTTCAAAGCATTTGGGACCATTTCCATGACTCGTATGTATTAATAACAATAACAATGGTCCTCGTGTTGACTCTTAAATTGTCTGAAGGTACGACTGGAGAAGTCAAATATAAGTTATGCTTTTTCAGTCAAATGAAGAAAGTCATATATAAGTTATGTTTTTTTCAGTCAAATGAAGAAAGATAACTATCATATTTTGTGTTTAACTATCGGCTATTCGAAATTCACAAGCTTGACCAAACTGGATATGCAAATGCACCGGGGAAGCTAGTTAAAGAGGTAAAACGTTTTCTATCGAGTAGTTCTCCATTTTCAGAGAACGATCAGATTTTATTGTTCCAAGCTGAGGCGTCACATGGTCTCACCTGTTATTGAAGGGAAGCAAATATAGCCACTGAAAAAGTGAAAATTTTCGACTATCCCCCTCGTAACCATGATGAAATCAGAAAATAAAGAAAAGCATCGACGAATGCAGCCTCAGCATGTATCAGAAGATAAAATTAACATGTATAATAGAGAGTTATTTATTCATGTAAAAGAATAAATGAACAACAAATAGAAGAAGTACTATTGATATAGTTTATAAAAGAATCCAATAAAAAAACTTATTATTCATGGTATAAAAGTTAAGGAGTCCTCTAACCATGATATATATGTTTCAGATTAAGTTTTCACATATTTAACATCACAAGCTATGAAAATCAGATAACTGTTAAAGTGCTTAGGCAAATTTCAGCATGCTGTAACCTTCAATGGTTTGGGGGTCTGATGATTCTTTGTAAGATAACAGTCCTGGCTCGACGAATATCCCTGCTACACACATCAGCTTGCATTCCAAGATCTTCAACATTCTTCATAAAGACATCCAGCTTTTTCCTGATCTCTTCTATAGCAACCTTAACAGCATCTTCATCAATAGCAAACTCAACTTTCTTCAAGAGTGATTCAATCTCGATTTCCAATCGATCTATAAGCACCCTGATACTGTCTAAATCCTTAATTGTGATAAAAGTACCTACATGCATTGTGTTGACCAATTCTTTCTGCCCTTTGACAGCATCTTCATAGTTCTTGAGAAGGGAATCAATCCATTTTCCCATTGAGCCCAATGGAATCGACGCTGCAGCTGCCAGAGCAGATGCGACCGGAGGTGCAGCTATAGCAGCAGCCACTACTGAGCAAATCAAAACAGCTGCAAATGTAGCCACAAATATAATGTTTGACACTTTCCTCCAAGCATTGATGTACTTAAGCCTCTTATCAAGCTTGTTCTTTTTTAGCTGCAGCTTTTCAAGCATCAGCATTTGCTGTTTATAAACGGACTGGAAAATTTGGAAAAATTCCTCTGTGAAAGGATCCCCTGCAGCTCTGAAATTCTTCAGTTCCTCTAACGTCTTGGTATATCTATTCCCTTCAACCCCGCTTTCCTCTTCAAATTGTTGAAGTGCTACAAGAATCAGCAATTGGCTATCCCGAGCACGTTTTAGGCATTTCTCTAAAGCAGCAAGGAAATCCAGAGTTTTGAGGCTATTGTCAAAATACTCCTCAACTAGCTCAAACAAGTCTTGATTCTTCCATATGTCTTTCTTGCAATCCAATATCACCTTCACAACTTCCTGATTCATTTCCAAAAGGCATCCAGTTACTTCCCTCAAGGAATCAAACGAAAGTGCTCTAACTTCAACCCCATCAGCAAGGGTATTGATAACGTGACTGGTTCGAGCTTGTAGATTAGTATCAAAGGACTGTAAATCTGTGTCAACCCTGCACGCAGCTTCATATGAATTCAGCTCAATTTTATACTGCAGATTGTCGATTGCAGCTGAAGTTTCACCAGGCTTTTTGCTCATGTGTCCTCCCATAATTCTCTCAAAGCTCAAATTCAGTACAAATCTCCACACAAGCTGCAACAATGCAAAATTTTAGAAATGTAATTTCACAGCATAAACTATGACAGAAAGTCAGAAACCCAAAACAAATAATCCTCTTTTAAGCTAAACTCCAAATTCAAAAGGGAAATAATAGGATGGGAACAAAATAACAAACGCCCAAACAAAAAGGTCCTACCAGAACATCACTTTCATACATATAACATCAAACACAAAAACACAAGAAGCTGCAACAACTGAACCAATAAAACAAACAAACAGAAAAGATCTAAACTTTATCCCAACAGAATCATACTTCATATATTCCCCAACTTTGCAGCAACAGATAAATCAAGATCACAAATGGGCAACTGAATTACATGTAAAACTTTCAAGACTTTCTGCTAAAATGAGAAGCTTTATTAAAGAATCTGAGTTTGGAGAACAAAATAATAGGTCCCACCCACAAAACAATCACTTTCACAACACAACATCAAATCAAAACAAAACAAAACAAACAAGAAATAGCATCAACTGAATAAATTCACCTAAAATATGAAGAATTCAGAAACAGAAAAAGATCCAAACTTTATCCAACAGATTCTTACTTACTTCATATATTCCCCCAACTAGCAGCAACAAATTGTCCCAAGATCTCAAATGGGGCAACTTAAAAATGTAATTTTCAGCTAATCTTTCAAGTTATGATGCTCTGTTCAAGAATGGGGGTTCTGAAAAATGAAAGAGGGGTAAAGAACAGGTATTTATAAAAAAGGGGGAAGATAAAGATTAAAGGCTAGGGATAAAGGAAGAAGCTTATAGAGAAATGAAAGTGTTAAGAGCCAAGTAAAATGCTTTGGGGTTGACACAACACAAATTAGAACAAATAGCTTGCACGCATGAGTTTAATTAAACTAAATTTGAGATGGAAAACACGGGAAGCAATGTTCTTTGTGGTTCAAGCTTAATTTTTCAGTGTAGATAGATATGTATAAAAATTTCATATATATAAAGAGAAAAGAGAAATGTAAATGCTAACAGAGTTAGTTCTAATTTAACGCGGAAAGCAAGGAAAAATAATGAAGGATACCTAGGAAGAAACTGTGAAACTTCAGCTTAAAGAAAAGACAGAGTGAGTCAAGGAGAGAGAGATTATACAAGAAAACATGGGTCTTTTTTTTTTTTTTTTTTTAAATGTTTCAATAAAGATTATTTTTGAAACCTTGTTTTGTGAAGGTTTCGGGCTTGTTAGTATATGTTGTAGTAATAGTCGTAATCTTATAATTCTTGTCATATATTGTTTATTAGTAGCATTTTGAATTACCACACTATTTTGCTATTGTTATTGTTTCTTTCTTATAGATTTTACCGTGCTTTTCTTATGAATGTACTACTATGTTTTCTTGTTCTTCTTCTTTTATATGGGTTGACGCACTTGAGCTGGGAATCTTTCGAAAATAACTTATCTACTTCTACGAGATAGTGATAAGGTTATACGTACACTCTACCTTTTTCAGATTTCCACGAGTTGTAATCTTTTTCTTCGATTCTTATATATTGACAATGCACATTTAAAAAGATATTATACCTAAAAAATAAATTTAAATACTATTTAAAAAATAAAATGAACAACCAACTACAACATGTTAAATTACATGGATGGGCAGCACATTTTCCTGCATTTTGACTGGTTTAATAATCTAGAGGGTAGTTGATGTACTTAAGAGTCAACCTTGAACACAAAGCAATGGATTCCATAGCCAATTGGGCTGAGAAAAAGTCAAATTCGGACTATATGGTTTCATCAATATTAATTAATCTTAATTAATCTGACCATTCTCTGTATAGATGCAAATTAGTGTCTTTTAGGGTGTGTTTTGGTATATGGCTGGTCGAAATATTTTGAAAAATACTTTTTTAAAAAGAAATAAGTTTAAACTTATTGATGATCTAATCATAAAGAAATAAGTTTAAACTTATTCTAGACTGATGATCTAATCATCCCACTCTCAAGTCTCACCCCTTTACCTCTACACTTACTTTCACAATAGGAAAAAGATTTATTAGGGACCAAGATTTAATGACGAGTTTTTTAAAAAATATAATCTCTAATGGTATATTTTTAGGAATGAGATTATTTTATGGTCTTTTAATGGTATATTGAGGCTTATTCATTTGTGTTCATCTAAATTATAGAATAAAAAGTCTGAGAAATTGTTCAAGATCATATAAAAAAACTTCATCCCTTCACAACTGATGTGAAATAATCTTAACACTAGTATCACTTGCACACGTCACCCAGGTTTAATTTGCCACTAGTGGAGCTAAGACAACATAAGAAGGGAACCCAACAACGCATTCATCAAAAAATGGAAAGAGTCCAACTGTAATATACTACGATAAGAATCAACATTATTATTAAATCTAACTCAAATCCCAAATATTAGTTCATGATCAGGGGAATGTTGATAGATGGGACAAACTCATCAACACATTTTATTGTCACAAATTTGTTTTAAAGGCACCATTTTCCTTAGTAAAATTAAAGAAAATGGTATAGAAACCTTCACAGCGCTGAGTAATGCTACATTTTTGTTAGGTCTCAATTAGCTAATTGCTATATATGATGTTTTTCAAGGAGCAGCAAATCATTTACTAATGCATGCATTCGTTTTGTGTTGCTTATCGATGATAAATCATTCGTTAATTCACAATGTAGTAAGGAATTAATGGAGAAGTTAACTTACCGATGATCTCAAAGTGTGTTAAATCTTCAATCGTACTTGAGAAGTAGCTTGTTATACTATAGCTGTAGTTTTTTTGGGTTAAAATTATGATGGGAAGC